TGATGAATGAAGAAATGGAAATGACACTAGAAGACTTGAGGTGAGAGATCGGAAGTGTGAAGTTGCCGGATTGCAGTGAGTAAAACTGAAAACTCGTTCTCCCTCTTTACCTTACTAATCTCATCCGCGATATTTATATTTGCTTTAAAAGTATCTCCATCAGTAGGGCGGATGTAACCTGAGTGAAATTTTTGAGAGAACACTTTACTGTTTCGATAGAATGGTGGACGCATTTCACAACGCCTTAAAAATCTTTCTTAGACCCTTAGTTGCTTTACTCAAGGAAGCAACCCTTGGTGCTAACATAGATAGATTGATTATGTGAGAGTCTACGGAAACTGAAGCCCGCAATTCGCTGCGTCGCAACACGTAAACGATATAAGTTGTGCCGAAAACTGGAGAATAGTACAAGGCGGTGTAGTATAGCAGAAAAAACGAAGGTCTAGTTAAGCGGAAAAAAATTGGTGTTAAAAGAGGTGTATTAGACAAATAGTCGAGCTGAGGTGTTAGATTGGTTATTTGTCTGAGTAGAAAAACGGTAAAAAAATATTTTGTCATTAGCATTCTTCGGGAGAATAATAGACTAGAAGGGAAGACTGTAGAATTGGTGATTTTACTGTATTGCATGCTATAATAACCTGAGCGTAAGATTGATTTGTTATTAAGTTAAGTAGTAGAGCAAACAAAGGGTAAAGCTCGAAATAGTTCAATCTTCGAAGATATTGTCCCTTCTTTGCCAGAAAACAAAACTTGACAAAATCGGCGAAACCCCCCCCCCCCCCTCCCCCCAAATCGGAACTAAGAAAGCTAATATTATGAAATTCAAAGGAGCGATACTAGAGATGATTTGACCCGGGCATACAAAAAACGGAACCCCTCAGACCCTTGGGTGGCAAGTGATTACGGTCACCGGGAGTGTAAATGGCCCTATTAGAACTTAGTAACTAGCGGTTGGAATAGAGTCAAATTCTAGTATGTTGTAGGCCCAGTTAAGGGGAGCTTAAGTTTGGGAACCCAGACCCCTCAGACCCCCACTTCCGGTTTTATGCCCAAAGTAAACAAACCCACCCGTAACTACAGGAAGTCGTTTCTCGGCCTCAAATGATTGCAGGGAGCTAAAACTTGGAGGGATCATAGGTAGCACTGAGGTACCTCAACTGTTTCAATTTGAACAAAATCCGGCGGTTGGGCCGGAAGCTATTAGCACTTGGGACAACACCCCCTTAGACCGGAAATAGGCAATTTGCGCAAAATATTGAGCGAGGGCATACCAATTTTATGGCGGGATCAGATACTACAACTCGTTCCCAAAAAACGACCCCTTGTGAGCGAAAACCCTCCGGTGAATCCTTCCGGTGTTAATAGCCTTTTTCCTGGAAAAGTCATAATGGACATTAGAAATGGTATAACTTGTGAAGTATTAATGGGATATGAATGAAACTTGGTAGTTAGGACCCCCATGGGATTTTGAACCCAAAAAAAAGAAGTTTGACCCCGGTTGAACCCTGGGTGACCTTAAGTTTACTCTTGGGCGTTTAGGATCAAATTTATATAGAAAACCTCGGGATTAACACCGGAAAGTGGCGTAATCCCAAGCCAAACCCCTGGAAATGGGAATGGGTCATCTTGCTCAAACAAATTGGGGGGAAAACTTATATATTGGGAATTAAAGCAGAAGCTGATAGAGATATAGCTTTTACATTGCAACCTTGGAGCAAAGGATTTAATTCAAAGTGAACTTGGTAAATACTGGGGTCAGATTAGCTTGGCGACTGATCTATAAATAGCAATTAAACCAGACTAAAGAAAAGTAGTCCCAGAGGAATTTGATAGTATTAGGACCGCGGCATGAGAGTTTAGTTTCCTAAATAGTATGAATGAACGGGGATTTTTTTGGATCTCCGGAGGTGACTTTTGGGTTTAATTTGACCCCTAATAGACGAACTACGTTCCCCTGATAGCTAGAGGGTCGGGATTGGAATAGAGTACAGATAGAAAATTTAGATGCCTGAAATTAGTTAGCTACCCAAAAAAAGGGTTTCCCCCTACCGTTGGGAGGTCAGAACGTTAACGGGATAATTAAAATAAAGACCTTGGGAATAAAGACTGAGTAAACATAGCATGAATTGGAGGTTGTGTTGAACTCAAGAATCGAAGTTCACAGAGTTCAGGAATTGGTTGATTAGAATCGTATGACATTTGTTTGCTTGGTCAAAATCTAATAAGCGTGAAAAGGTTGATAAAATAAACCGAAGTTGGCACGTGGCAGAGTTGACAGGGGGAGGGATATAATCTTAAACATGTGTGGACGGGTGATTTAGGTGGATGTCAGGACTGATAGGGAATGGCGTGACTTAACCAAAACTAAGTGTAAAGAAAGATAAGGAGTTGGAGATTATCGGAGAGCCACTAAGAGTCAGAACAGTGCTAGCTACCATAAAGAGTAGTTGGTTTTTGTCAGAGAAAAGAACAGTGCTAGCTACTATCAACAGTAGTTGGTTCCCATCAGAATAGAAAACAATCATTGCTAGCGAGCGAGCTGATTAGAACCCGAGTATAAAACCGGATTGAATAAATAGAGCGATGGGTTGATTGGAACCCAAGTTTAGTACCTGGTTGAAATAGCTGTGCGAGCGAGTTGCGCTGGAACCCGAGTTTAGTACCGGGTTGAACTAGTTGTATGAGCGAGTTTCTCTGCTAGAGTAGGTGAGTTTTGAATCGAGCCAACCGAAAACTGACGAGCGATTGAATGGAACGGGATGCGGGCTTCAAAATAGAACTTGCTAAAAAGTAGTTAGCTCATTAAGGGCACTGTAAGTTGATTTGATTTTCTTTGCGATTGAGATTTTACTCATTAGGCCCAAGAGTTGCTGAACTAGCTAGAAGCACGCGAGGAGAGACGAAAAGAGCCTAAATTAAGGGGGAAGTTGCGTAATTCTTTGATCGGCCGATTTAGTCTGACCACCAACATAACCCTTTCGGGATTGTGGATCATATCGAGTTTTAGTGTCCTCCGCTATTACACGGTATAAAGAGGAGAAACTCTGTGGCAGTTGAGTAGAGTGAAAGTGTGCTTAGAGGAGACGACTCCCCGGAAACGAATCTACACAATGCCATACAAACAGAAACTTGTATGAAATCTCTCTGATAAGCATTTTTCCATAAATGAAAAATGTATGATATATATATTTATTCGTACATAAACCAAAATTTTGAAATTTTTTCTACGTTAATTTCTGGAAACTTTTGAATTGGGTTCTAATCGAACGCAAATGGCAAAGACCTTGGTTTGCTCAGAGCACCAAAGGTTGGACGGTCTTGCATCTACAAAACATACAACACTGAATTGTCTTAATGCTGTCTTTCACAAATCATATAAGGAAAGTAACAAACTTTTAAATTTCAAAATTTTTTGGAAACGTTTTTTTGTCACCATCAAAAAATGCGAGTCATACAATTACCATGTATGGGAAATGTTTGATAAGAATTGTGTTTTATTAGAATCAAACATAATAGAGTGTTTTTTCAGAATCAAAGAGCCGCAGAAACTAGTTTTTATCTTTTTTCAAAGATTTTTGAAATTAATGAAATTGTATAACGAGCAGTTTTCCATACACTTGATGTCTGAAATTGTTTACTAAGCCTTTTCGGTGTATAGAGGTTAACACAGGGAGCCTTTTCTCTGGCATCTAAATTGAGCCGTTTTGTTATTAAACTCAACACATATTATGTGTGCAACTTCCGTGTATATGTGCAAAATGTGCATTGAATCTTGCTGTTTACTGGCTGAATGTTTTGTTTGCAGATAAGAAAATTTCAAAAAAGAAAGAAATTTGTTTCATCAAAAGTGGTGATCAGACACTCAAAAATTTCATCAAAAGTGGTTATCTGACGCTCAAAAATTTCATCAAAATGGTGATCCGACACTCAAAAATTTCATCAAAAGTGGTGATCCGACACTCAAAAACTTCATCAAAAGTGGTTATCCGACACTCAAAAATTTCATCAAAAGTGGTGATCCGACACTCAAAAAATGACTTATCAAAATTTGTTAGATCAATTTTTTCAATAGGCCAAATTTATCGTCCGAGTGCTCCCAGAACAGTATAAAGACCCTATTTTTACAAAAAAAAAAATAGCGCCGCAGGCAAGGTTTTAAAAACAAAAGGTTGAAATTTGAGTTTTTGGGAGTTTTTTGACCAAAACTTTGACCAAAAAAAAAAACCTTTTTTTGGCTCTCCTTCAATTTGTAGTGTATATTGGCGCCTAAAACGCCTTCAGAAAAATCTCAAGGTAGGTCGACCGAAAATTGGTGTCGATAATTAATACCGAAGGGAAGACCCTTTAGTTGGTGAGGGGGTTGATTCCCTGAAGGGGGCGTCTGCCGCCCGCCTCCTCCCCTAAATCCACTAAAAGTTTGTTTTTGACTAAAATGTGGATTATCGGTGCTAGATTAGGTAAACTACAACTAATAATAAATTAATGAAGGCCATTCAGACCAACTGTTTTTCTATGCTTATTTTTACAGTAGGAATATGTTTTTTTATATTAGACGCATCTTTTCGTTATTCATCCAAGGTAAAACATGTAAACTTGTTCTCGGTAATGCATGAAATAAGGCCAACCAAACCAAAAAATAAGTAGTTCAGTCAACAATGCTCTTTTTGAACCTTCTCTTTAGAGTCATTTTCATCTGATCAAAACACTTTTTTTTTCTCATAATTGGGTATACTGAAAACTTTCTCTGGATAAATATCCCACCCTGGGCAGACTATGTCACACTTCTTTTATCAAAAAAGAAACCAAAATGTTTTTCAATCAGTTTTTTAAGCGGATGCTTAACAATCGGATGCTTAACAAGCAAACAAGAAAAATCGTGGAAATAAAAAGTTTGCGGTTAGAGCTGAAAATAGTCTGATAAGTTAATAACTAGTTTATTGGTACTAGCTAAAATTGCCCGGAAGACACGTGAAAATTTTTCAGATGCGGAAATTAACAAAGATAAGGCAAGTTTGTCCACGTTTGATATACGATTGAAAGGGGATATGAATTTCCTCCCAGGTTTTATCACTCAATACTTTACATGAATCACAGCCCGCGATTGACCCGCTTCATTTAATTTATGGGTTGTTTATTCTCCTAAGAAGTAAAAGTACTTGGCTCAGTTTCTCTCTAACTTCTTAGATCTTTTACCTTCCTCTAAATTGTTTCGGCTAGCTCCCTCTTTTTATCGTCAGGGGCTCCGGTGATAAATTTAAAAAGAATTTTCCCCACAGTTTCATTTACTTGTAAAACAATTTCCCTTAACTGGCTGGCAGGTGAGTTAAAATTTCTCTACATGCATCTATACAGTACCGTGCCGAGGGAGGGGGGAGCAACCGCCCCCTTCCCCCCATCCCCTTCAATTCTGGTTGCCAAATTTTCCCGAAGTGTCCCCCTTTGGTACAATCCATTTATGGCTTACCAACTTCAAAAATTTTCTAAATGGGCCAAATAAATAATTTTCGAGACAACATAAATAATTTTGAGGGGAAGTGCGCGCCGAAAAAACGTAATTTTTTGATCAAAATTTTCCAAAAAATGCCTAAAAACGCCTTTTTTTGGCCTGTTTTTGAAAAAATTTTAGTATTTTTGGGGAGCTCGGAAAATCCAATTGATCGACCTAAAACATAAAAAGTTCCACTAATTTTTCAAAATTTCTGCGCACGCCACTGCATCTATTCAAAGTTTTTTTAATTCTTGATTTGATTTGAATTTCAAACAAAGGCTATCAAAATAAAACTTGGATATGATTTTTTATGGACAGCGAAAAACACGCGACTCTAAAATTTTCCGTAAAATAAAGATGAGACTGTTTTGTGTCTGTTTTGTTTCATTATGTTTTGTTTAATTAAAACTGTTTTGTTTCATTACGAGGCCAAACTGTGCACAGGGTAGGCGCACAATTTTGTGTTTGTATGTTCTAGGTAAAAGTGTGTTAAAAGTGAAACATTTTATAAAGAACCAACTGAGCCCTTTTTTTCAAGATTTTTAGACCTACCAAAAAGAATCTACAAGAAAAGGTCGAAGTAACTCTGAAATTTGCAATAAATGTTTCAGAAAAGAAAAACAAGTTGGTACACAAAAACAGAAAATGCAGACAATAACTTTCGCATTTTTTGCTTGCTCCATGCTGTTTGCTTGCTCGTTGACACAGGAAGATGACAAAACTCAAAAACGATACCTAGCGAAGAGCTTCATACATCCGCATCAAGGTACACACAATTTTTTAACTTTGAATAACCTCAAGATTTCGACCGGTCAAAGTATAACCGAACTCAACTCGAAGAGTTAGTTTTCGGACAAAACTAGAAAAGTTTGTTTTTAGACAAAAAGTCCCCACCTGAATGTATTTTGATAATTGAAGCAAGTCTTTTTCAATGTCGGTGAAAAAGAGTCAAAACAAGGTAGCGTCCTGTTAGATTTGTGTATAGTGAAGTCCGTTTTGAATGTTTTTCTTCAAAAAATTCCTGAAAAATCCACTTTTCAAAAAACTCCTGCTCGCGCCACTGAAGAAAGGTTTGTGTATTTAATGGTCAAACTAAGGCAGAACGTATGCAAAAATTCTCGATGTAAATGTAAGTTTTTCACACAATTTTTTTGACTGCTGTCTTTGATCTATTATCTGATATGTGGCAAAATGACTTTGAACCCATCGAGATAACAATTTTTTGTTTTCTGGATTTTTGGAAAATGCAAGTCTTTACAGAAATTCAGAAATTCAGTTTTTTTAGTATAGATCAGAAACGACACGCTTTGAAAATCTCATGTTTTTTAAACTTTCCATTTTTTAAAATGGATTGTTGAATAATTTTTACGCTACCTATGACGTCTTTTTAATTTCAAAGAGTTCTAATTTTCATCCAAGAAAGAATTTTTTTGAATAGAGTTTTAACAGCGGAGTTGTGAGACTATGATGCACATCTTCAATTTTTGTTTATGTTTTTGAAGTATCATTCGGTTTGGGATTTTCAGCTAAGAGATCATTCTTCAAAAAAGACGCAGTGAATTCCGTGAATAATGACGATAAACAAGGTGTCCTCGCCCGACAAGCATTAAACTCCCCAGAAAATTATGATAAGCGAGGTTTCTTCGCCGATCAAGCAGTTGGGAAACGAGGGTTCTTCGCCGACCAAGCAGTTGGCAAACGAGGTTTCTTCGCCGATCAAGCTGTGGGAAAACGAGGTTTCTTCGCCGATCAAGCTGTGGGAAAACGAGGTTTCTTCGCCGATCAAGCTGTGGGAAAACGCGGGTTTTTTACAGACCAGGCGACAGGAAAAAGGGGATATTTCACCGATCAAGCTACAGCTGGCAAAAGAGGATTCTTCCTGGATCAGTCGACCGGAAAATAAAAGGAACTCTTAGGAAAATGGGCTGCTATTTAATTTGACTATTAATTTAATCAAGGCTTGTTTAACAAGTTATCATGGTTCGACAAATATACTCATTGAAAAATACTATGAAAAAAAAAATCTTTTCTTAAAAATAACTCAAAGTAAAAAACGTCAATTTATTGGAAGTCTCATAATGCAAAAATAATAATTCATCATAAAAATTTCTCAGTAAGACTTGTTTTGATAAAAATTTTGAAAGCGATTTAAACCATGTTTTGTTTCAAAATAGAGGAAAAGCTTGCATGAAATCTGTTGTCATAACAGAATCGAAGAATTGACGTATTATTTGAGCTCGACGTTTGTTTTATTTCTCCGCAATATGTGCAAACTTTTAAGCAGTAACCTCTTTTTTGTAATATTTTGGGGGCTTGAAAAACACCATTTTGCCTGAATTGTGACAAACACAGCGCAATATAGTTCGTGCTACCGATGAAAAAAAATTTGAGAAACTATTTGCAAGATAATTTTTAGAAACAAAGCCAAAATACAACAGTTTTCGCTAAATTACTCAAACGAGCGACCATTTTCTTTTTAATCAGGAAAACCAGCATATCAACATGAAAAATCTTTCATTTATCAAGTAAACCATTTCCTTTCCACGTTGAATAAACTGAAGAATATTCACTAGGTCTAAAAATTTTTCTTGGTAAATAGACTCAAAGACAGTTTTTAAAGAAAACTTTCGCGTTAAGTTCCCTTTGAACATGCTTTAGAAAATCGTTTTTAGTAGTTCGCCTGATTTCTCTCATGATACTTTTTCTCTTTTTTTAATCGTTATGCACAGACCAAATACAGCATTATTTTTTAAATTTTAGCACAATTCGATTTCTCTGTAAGTAGAAAAACATGGAAAACAAGAGTAGGCCTTTGCTTTACAATTATCACTGAACACTTTGTTTAAACTGATACAAAAAAATTAAAACTAAAGAAAAACTGTAGAATAATTATTTAAAGAGTTTTGCTCATTTTCCTTGTGTTTTGTCCTCATTTTCTGTTCTTTTTTGAAAAATTACAAAAAAGAGTTTTATAACTAACTAATGTGTCTTAAGAATTATAAAGTTTAGAAAATTTTGGAAATAGGCCTGTGATCAAGTTTTGTCAAACTTAGTCAAAAAACCCAAAACAATCCGACCAATTTTTCTCGACACCAAGACGTTTTCGTAGAAATCATTTCTTAGAACGCAAATCACTGCTAAAAAGCACGAAAAGGCAATTTATGAAACTAACATTAGCGTGGAAAAGTCTCGAGAACAAAAATTTTTCCCATGTTTTAGTAGGTACAAAAACATATCAGAAAAATACTGAAGAAAAGCTGAAAAAAAGATTTGTTTGAAGAGAGAACATGATCAATCAGCAGTGTTTTGGCTCTGCAACTAAATTCTGTTGGAAAGCTAAAAAACTAACTGAATAATGTCATAATGTAATGAATTTTTGCACGGTAAAGAAATATATAGGCTGAACTCAAGTGTTTTTAGAATTTAAAGCGAAACATCACGCTTTTGATCACAATAAAAATTAAAAATACCAAGAAAGTGGCAAGAGTACCCAGTGAAAAGATGCTATTAGGGAGACTATGTTTTGATTTCCAAAAACTAACTGTGATAAAACAATAGATTCAGACAACTTTGAAATCTTGGCTCAAAGTAATTTTCAGAAAGTACGTGGTTGAAGATTTAAAAAATAGTTTTGATATTTCCTTACTGAGCCATGAAAAAATCATGTTTTTTTGCAAAGAATTCTTTGGTTCTTGTATGCGTCTCTCCAGAGTTTAATGATGAAGTAATTTATAAAGTATTTTGAACTACCTTTGTAAATAATTGAAAAGAATAAAAACTGAGCAAGAATTTAATCAACCGGCAACTGTTTAGAATTCAATCACCCGCTGAATCTACTTGAATGCAAGTTATATTTTGTAAACTTGATTTTTTCTTCCGACTTTCGTAACAAAAGTGGCGGAATATTTTCGCTCGGGGTGATTTTTTTCATCAGACAAACTTCGACTTTTTAACTAGCTATCTTAGATGGAATTTTCCTATATCATTCAAAAAGTATTGCTGTTCATAGCTTAAACTTGAAAAGATATTTCACCTGTGATTGTTTTTTGTCAAGTTATGGGGTCTCAAAGATTGCCAGTTCGCGCTACTAACGCGTAAACGGAGACTTAATCTGTCTTGGAAAACGTTCCAAATTGGTTGAAATAACCTTATTTGCCATAATTGATAGGTTACTAGGAGCAAAAGCGATCATAATGTACTTTATTTGGCGTGTGGGAAGATGATTTTCAAAAAAATCTCCATTTTTTTTTACTTTAATTTTGTTTTATTACATTTAATTTTTCATGTTTTTTTGCCCCTTAAACCTTAAAAGGCAGTCGGAACTTTCAGGGCTTTGCCCTGATGCGAGAAATTTTTTTTCACTTTTGAACTTGTGTTATCTTTTTAATTTTTTTTTACAAAAGAACCATTTTTCTCTGCGGTTAACAAATCTGTTGTCATTATCTCAAATTTACGTGCACTTTTTAACATATTTTTATCAGATAAGTCTCAATCACATGATAAATATCCACTTTTTCTCTCCTTGTGATAAATTTGATCTCAGAAGTCCTGGTTTGAAAAAAAAACTAAAGTGTTTGAATTAAAAGAATAGAATTAGAGTAAGTATTTATGTGTGCCTTTGCCGTGACCTGAAAAAAAAAAACAGTTTTAGATTGTTTCAAATATCTCCTCGCTCTCTAGTGAATGATTTGATCAAAATAGATCTATCTTCAGCCGTTTCTGATTATCCCTTTTAGTTTCCGTTTCGTAATTTCTAGTGGCGATCCTGTATTTTTTTTCAGCAAATAAGCTAATCTAGCTAACTGCGCTTTTTTTAAAAAAAAAACCGGATTTTACTGCTGTTTGCAACACTGGACTATATATACTGCTATTGTTCTGCAAATTGCAGACCCTCTATGGTATTTCTGTTAGATTTATCTGCATTTTAGTTTGAGAAATGACTTCTCGAGGAACGTGTTACCGTACCTGGTGAATTTTCTAAACAGGGTCTGAAATTCTATCTTTTTTACATAAATTGATTCTTAGATCTGAAGTTCGTTATTCTGATCTTTGATTATGAGGAATTAAAAAATTTCAGACCTGAAAATTGAATCTGAAGTTAAAGCGAGTTTTCAGATCTGAAAAAAAAACAATAAAAACAAAATTTCGGATCTGAAATTAGATCTGAGAAAATTTTCTTCATTATATCACATGCATTTTGGGCAAACAGATGACTTTTTGAAATTTTACAGTTTTTTCAATAATTAATTACATTTCGATCACTTAACAGTAAAAATAAACTTCCCAATGATCACAACCTTGTTCTTAAACATAATTTCGTTTGTACCTGTTTTGAAAAGCCCTTCAAAAACTTCTTGATCACCTATCAATTTTTTTGCTATTCATGCGGTACTTCTGCATTTACCGATGTTTATCTCATGTAAGGCAATCATATTCCAGCAGTCTTCGAGGAGAGATTTTGCTAAGTACCTGCTAGTGGGTGCCGGACATCAAGCCGACGAGACTTCAAGCCGAATCGTAAAGCTAGGGACTTCATATCAAAAGTTTTCTCATTAGGTCTTGAAATATGATGATTTTTTTATAAAAAATTCTCAACTTTATGATCTTTCCTGAGTAATTATTATCGTTTTTTTTTTTAATTTAAGCCTCCGAGTGATGTTTAAGAAAGTTGAAAAAACACACGGTTGAAGGCCATTTTCTTCATATAATTTATGAATTCGAAAAAACGGGCTGATATTATAAATGAGTACCAATCTTGAGTTATTCATGTTCATGAATAACCTTTATTATGCACTAAACTTGCCTAAATTTTTGAAAAAAAAAACGTTTTACAGATTAAAAAAATAGTGATTTGAGGCGCTTAAAAAGTTTAAATTTCGGTCTGAAGTCCCTTTGGCTTGAAGTCCCGTCGGCTTGTTGTCCTAGACCCTTTGCTAATAGCTAGTAAAAGCTGAAATGATGTATGTTTTCAAACCAGAAAAGATAATGAAAATATACTTTCAGATCTGAAATTACATCTGAAATAACTCATTTTTAAAGTACCCAAGCGTATCCAGCTGTACAGTTCTGTGTCTTTCCAGGTGCACTCTCGGTTGCGCATTTGATAATTTTTTAGCATACTTCTCCTGACTAATATCGGGACCAATTCAATCTGCCTTTGCTCAAATGGTCCAACTTCAGAATATTCTGAGATACTGGTAATTTCATATCCCCAGGCTCCTATAACTCTTATGACATAAAAAAACTTGGCTTTCGCAGATTTTTTTGTTGTTAGATTGAAATTGTATAATTTTCTTGTGTTGGTCTTTCCCTTCTTGTTAAAATGGTGGTATATATCGGTCTCGTTTTATCGTAATCATGATAGACTGTTTCATTTGTGTAACTTTGTATCTTAAATTTCGATATCTGAATCACTAAATAAAATGGTATCTTTGTTTCAATAGCAGACAATTTCCCCGCCTAAAGTAATCTACTGGAGGTAACATTCTTTAATTTTGGAACAATTGCACAATGTTTTTTCATCTCACTTTTGGGATCTATTTAACAATCTTTCTCCCTTTTCAGAAAGGAGGGGAGATTGCTAAGAAGATTAAGTAACCGAATTTGTGAATAATCAGAATGCAGCAACATTATAATTCACAATACAAAGCTCTAGCGCTAGTTTACTCATAGGGGTGGAGATTCTCAAGTAGATACCATAGGGGGGAGATTGTTAAGTAGATTCCACTTTTGATACCAATTGCACGGTGCGAATATATTTTTGTGTGATGATATTTATTCCAGTTGAACCGATTTCGTCGTTATTTCTTTCAGGCTAATGGACTTTTTTTATAACTGAATAAGTGAAAACGTGTCAATCACATTTCTTTGGACATTGTTACTTACGTTCAGTGCTTTTGCTTTGGCGCCATTTGAGGTCGTTTGATACAGGTCGTATGATACAGGTCGTATGATACAGGATTTTCTCTCGAGGGAATTTTCGAAATTGTTGTCGACTTTTTTA